TCACAGAACTGCACTCAGATGCAGTTTTATCTATTAGATTATTGCGAGCATCCAACTGCGGCTGCGCAAGTGCTTCATGTAACAATGAATTATGCCTCTTCTTACAATTAGTACAGCTACTTCTACGCTTGCAGGTCGACGGAATGTGACCTTTACTAAGGCAATTGAAGCAAAGACGTTGCGATTTAACGAAATCTAGGCGGCCCGCTGCAGTTAAGGATTTAAACTTTGAGCAACTTGCAACCGAATGTGCTTGGGAGCATAAGTAACATGTTAGTGAAGCCGTACTTACATGAGTTGTAAGCTTCGATTCAACGTTCTTGCTTTTACCGCCCTTAGATAAAGGTACGTCTGAAGACAATGTAATGCCTGATTTAGCTTGTGCGACCAATAACGCATGAACCTTATTTTTTAAAAAGATTTCTAGCTCATAATACGCGGGAAAATTATCTCGTTTACCAATCGATTCCTCCCAATGTTTACGTATTTGAGGATCGACTCGAAGCAGAGTCATTACCACCAAAATAGAATCTGCAGTAAACTGCCCAATATTTTCTAACGACATGACAATTTCCCTAGTCTGCGCGATCAAGGATTCTAAGGCAGAAGCATTTTCTCCCGAAACAGGTTTTAATTTAAGCATCCGAAAAATCAGAGAAAATGTCATAATTTGAATGTCCTGGTAATGATCCGAAATAATTTTCCACGCGGTTGTAAAATTAGCATCTGTAACAGCGATATTTTTTATCAACGCCAAGGCTGAACCAGAGAGGCTGGTTTTTAAATAATATAATTTTTGTACATTTGTTAAGGTAGGCTCACGTAATACAAGCGCTTCAAACAGGTCCTTGAACTGAGTCCAGTCCTTGTAATCACCATCGAACATGGGAAGCGCAATCTTCTCTAAGTTGCATCGCTGCGGAGTGGGCTGAAATGTACTGGTAGTGGTGGAGAATGAAGTAGATGAGACTGCGGCCAACTTGTCCTGCAGGGTTGTCAAGAAGTCGATCACCTCCAAATATCTTGATTCGGCGATGCCAAATTCATCAGCACTAATATAATGAGTCACTTCATCGTCTGTTTGGATTATAAGGTCATTGTGAATCTTACGACAATTTTCAAAAAGTGTTCCCATCGACTGGAGTTTCCTTTCAATCGTCGTTGGCGACGGAGAAGTGGGTAACTTATTCACAGATGCACACATCCGGTAGAAAGAATCCAAATTTGACCTTTGCACATTCAACAGTGGATTGATTGCGCCCTGCGTTCTAGTCCGAGGACCTTTCGACTTGTCAGTCTCTTCCATATCTCACAATTAAATTCCAAATCCTAAGTCAGCTTACTGTTCCGTTTCTCCACTGCAATACAACGCTGTATATGGTGAAGCAGACTCTCCTTCCGGTCGTCCACACGAATGGAGAATTGTAGGCAAACAGTCACGCGGTGTCGCTAAACGGCAACGGGTGGGGCCGTACACGGTCATCCACGAAGCGATTCGAATTTATGATATATCTATTCACGCTTCTTGAAAATTCGATGACGTCACGAGCTTGCTTTCGTGAACGGAAACGGCGGGTAGCGTCCGACGCGATTCCTTTTTATAAAGCAGCAAACGCTATTTCACACGTGGCATTATAGTAATTAATCCCCTTTTCCAATATTTTTTATCGCAGATTAGATAGGATTAATCATCACGTGATCCGGCTCGAAGGACCAAATGTTGAACGCGGAAATCAAGAGGCATCGATAAGTCGCACTAAGGCGGGATGTCTATGGCGTTCCGAGAATTGCCTGGTCCGTGATGACGTACCTGCGTAGATCACTACTACGACTAATCGCGATTATTAAGCACGAAAGGTGGATGAAAGAATGTCCGAATATTTCAATCGAGAACACTTTATTTTCTTCATTCATTCCACAAACCACGCACTACAAAAGAGACTAACATAATGCGTTAGAATGCGCTCGAGAGAAGTGTACACGACGCAATACAAAAGACTACCGAAAATCGGTAGAACGCGCTCGAGAGAAGCGTACGCGCTCCTTCGACAGCTGCCCTCTGGCAGCTAGACTCTCGCAGTTAGACTCTCGCAGTTAGACTGTCCCCCGCATCCACGGAAACGAAGCACGGAGTCGAGCCCGATCACGAGGCGTTATGTGGGCAATCACGCGGTCTCCTAATGGCGAAACGTAAATATATACACGAGTGAAGACTATTATAATAATACTATATAAGAATACCTACATATTCGGCGACAACGGTATCGCGAAAACACTTACAATCTGCGTGGCCGACCAAGGCTAATATGTTTCGAAATCCAAACACCTTGTATATGTAAAAGATTAAATAAATTAAAATAGTAATTAAATGAAATTCTACAGTTATTATTTTAAACCTTTTACAAAAAATATACGCTGGATGTATAATAAAGGAAACGTATTAATATAAAATAAATATAAAAACAATTAATTTATCAATTAAAAATAAGGAATTTACATATATAACATTTATTGTATATATTTATGTACCCAGCAAATGAGAATGGATTGAAATGAATTGAAATGGATTCAGAAATATTGATTTACGAATGTTAAAATAAATGCTTATTCATTTATAGGAATTGCATGAAGCATATCTCTATGTCTTTTAATCTAAAAATAATATTAGCTTTTTCTGTGCACAACACACATATTGTTTTAAATATTGAATACTGTTCATAATTTGGAATAGGAAATGCAGTTTTTCAATCCAATTGCATCCAATTGAATCCAATTAAATCCAAAAAAAAGTATTCGATATTTAAAATATGCATTCGGAGAGAAAAAAATTTCAATCCATTTTAATCCATTCTCTTTTGCTGACAAGAAAATCAAAGCATTTGAAAGTATTTAAATAAAGAAAATGTGAAATAATTAAAATTGTGCTCAATTCTTTTGTAAAAAATTTATTTTTTTAATATTGATACATTTTACCCTGGACAAAATAAATCATTTTTACAAAAGAATTGAGCACAATTTTAATTATTTCACATTTTCTTTATTTAAATACTTTCAAATGCTTTGATTTTCTTGTATCCAATAATTTATTTGCTTGTTAAAAAAATAGTTACACAAATTCAATTTCTTTAAAGATGTATGATTTATTTTGTCCAGTACTGTAGTTTGTGCAGCAAGATAACACTTAAATAAATATAACATAGGATTCCGTCAAAGTTTACATTTCATCGTTTTGTTACTGTTCGTCATTTCATTGTTTGTTTACGTCGCTACGATTATAATTTAAGTGTTCGATAGATCAGCAGTAATTGTGACGAGTAAGAACAATGTCAGGAAAGCAAATTTCTCTTGATATCCGAAATTTGGTAATTCGTGACCGACAGAATGGTAATTCCTTTAGAATAACCGCTGATAAATATGCAATCTCTGGAGCAGTGCAGTACATTTGGAAAAAGTACGAAACACATGGGACTGTGACAAACTAATCCGGAAAAGGTCGAAAGGGGGCTGCAACTTCTCGTGATGACACCAGAATTGTTCGAATGGTGAAACAAAATCCGAAGCTATCATCGCGAAATATTGTGGAATCGATGAATCTGAATGTCAGCAGTCGCACTGTACGTCGCAGACTTAAGGAATCTGAACTGAAAAGCGTGTTCGCATCAAGACTTCCTTTCATCAATAAAATAAATAAGAAAAAGATATTCGAATCTGCCAAAAAATATATGAATATGCCTCTAGATTTAAAAAAAGAAGTATTATGGTCGGATGAGAGCAAATTTGAATTATTCGGACAAAAACGACGGTCTAAGGTATGGCAAAAAACTGGAAGCTCTCAAAGAAGTAAATATTCAAAAGACTATAAAACATGGAGGTGGTAATATCATGATATGGGGGTGCTTCGCCTGTTCGATAATTTGGCTCAAATTAAAGGAATTATGAAGGATATATTGATGTACTGTGCGAGAATTTAGAAGAATCTCTTTTGAAATTATATTTAGAAAATAACTTTATCTTCCAACACAAGATAACGATCCGAAGCATAAGGCAAAAAAAACCACTATCTTTTTCAAATCTAATAAAATAAAACTGCTCGAATGGCCGCCACAATCAGCAGATTTGAACCCATTGAAAATCTGTAAGCTTATTTAGATGAAAACGTGAATAAAACAAACGTAACTGATATCGTATTATACAGCACTTCAGAAGGCCTGGATTTTATTGATGAAAGAAAGTCTTGATGCGAACACGCTTTTCAGTTCAGATTCCTTAAGTCTGCGACGTACAGTGCGACTGCTGACATTCAGATTCATCGATTCCACAATTGATCCTGAGTATTTGAAGAAATTAGTCGAAAGTGTGCCTCGTCGACTGGAAGCAGTATTAAAAGCAAAGGGCGGGCACACCAAGTATTAAGCACCATAAAAATTAATTTTATTTGTTTGTTATTTATTATTTCTAAAAGTGTATGATTTATTTTGTCCAGGGTAAAATGTATCAATATTAAAAAATAAATTTTTTACAAAAGAATTGAGCACAATTTTAATTATTTCACATTTTCTTTATTTAAATACTTTCAAATGCTTTGATTTTCTTGTATCCAATAATTTATTTGCTTTTTAAAAAAATAGTTACACAAACAAATTCAATTTCTTTAAAGGTATATGATTTATTTTGTCCAGTACTGTAGATCATGATCATATGATTGATTGGAATAATACGATTATTCTTGATTCCGAACATCTTATTATAAAAGGATGGTCTCTGAGATGAGTCATAAAAAGATAAGAAATTTAAATAAACAGATTGACACAGAACGCTTTCCAGAAATCTACCAATCGTTGAAAAAAGTCACGCTACTCATCAATAGAATATCCCTCTGCACTTTACTTCCCTCTCCTTTCCTTTCAATACTTAGAAAGACTGTTTTCTGCTACATGTCTTCATTTTGTCAGTAATTGTTTCTTATAAAAAGTTCCAATTCTTGTTGTTAAATTTTACTTGCGAGGTTTTGCGTAAAAAAATTCGTGGTAAGCAATTTTTATTATGTAACTAAATTAATTCGCACGAATAAGAATTTAAAGTAATATTATAAAGTAATAGTGTTAAAAAAATCATTTCTTTTTTTTTTATTTCAATTAAAATCTAGAAATTACATATTTGCCACACGGAGTCGCATTTTACTTCTTGTAATAAAGAATCCTACGTGTAATAGAAAATAATTCATTAGCGACTAAGTAATATTTAACTTCAAGTTTTGTCAAATTACTCTGTTGTCTCGTACCAGAAGCGAATTGAAAATCGTTTTACAATCTTTTCTGACTAGTGTTTATTGTTTAATTTTATATTTTTATTTTTTGACATCTTTATTTTTGTATGTACTGATGATAGTCAAATCTTGACCGAAATGTCTATGTTATTATAATATTATATTATAATTTTAAATATATGACTTTCGCTTAAAACATCTAGTGTTGTGGCTGAATATTCCCTTTTATTTATATTTTGTATTGGTAAGCCACTTTAACAAATTTCAACCTATAATATTATTTTTAGATTGAAAAACATAGAAATATATTCCATGCCATTCTTAAATGAATACAAATGCATTCAAGGTTGAAAAGGAATGGACATTTGTTTCAATTCTAAATAAATAAAAATGCATTCAGGATTGAAAAGGATTTATTTTAACATTCATGAATCTGTATTTCTGAAAATCTAAATCCATTTTAATCCATTTCAATTCATTCTCGTTTACTGAGACTGATAAGACTTCTTGTTAGCAGAGCGTGGTTGGATGGGTTGAGCCAGTAATTAAGTAGAAACTTATAAATGAACGTAATTTATTGAAAAGTAAATTTTATAATCCGCGAGCGTGCTGTCCTCTCATTTCGGAATTCAAGCAGAGACTGCGAGAGAGATCACTTAAACGGTTATCGGTTAATTACGATGAGAGTCGAAGTTTTCCGAGCCGCGCTTGAGTCGAGTACAGTACAGTCACGCATAAAAGTATTGGTCTGTACACTCGAGTACAGAAACGCGCTGAACTCAAATACTTGTATTCTCAATACTGCCGCCGTTCAAGCGTTTCTCGTGAATCGTTATAATGTTTAACTTATTACATATGCTTTTGAAACGATCTCGCGGCAACGCCTTTGTGAATATGTCCGCGCGTTGATTTTCGGACGGAACGTACTCGACTATAATCTCCTTCTCATTTACTTTTTCGCGAACGAAGTGAAAATGGATGTCGATATGTTTCGTTCTTTTATGAAATACCGGGTTCCTGACTAACTGAATTGCACTTTGGTTATCGACGTATAGAGTTGTTTCTTTGTCGCAAGGATATCCGATGTCGGATAACAACTTCCTAATCCAAATCGCTTCTCGTGTTGCTGTTGATGCTGCCACGTATTCGGCTTCCGTGGTACTTAACGTCACCAGTCGTTGCCGCTGCGACGACCACGTGACAGCTCCGTTTGCGAGACAGAAAACGTATCCTGTCGTGGATCTTCGCGTCTCGATATCTCCGGCGTAATCGGCGTCTGAGAAACCTATCAATTCTACATTGCTGCCGCCGCTTGAGTATTCGATACCGTAGTCGATTGTGCTTTTTAGATACGCGAATATTCGCTTTACTGCTCGCCAGTGCGCAGCATTATGATTGCTCAAATACTTGCTCACGGAGTTTACCGCGAACGCGATGTCCGGTCTCGATACAGCAGCTAAAAAGACTAGCGACCCGACTGCTTCGCGATACGGCACACTGCTGGATTTTTCGTCGTTCTCCTCGCTAGGAGATAGTGCTGCGTGCGGATCTGCTGGCACATTTGCTGGTTTCGCTTCCGCCATTCCGAACTTTTCAATTATTTTCCGCGTGTATTCGCTCTGATGAATAATTAGCCGTTTATTTCTTTTATCGCGTTCGATTTGCAACCCGACGAAAACATTTGAATCCTCGACCGTTATTTTAAACGTTTCGCTCAGTCGTTGAATTATTTTCTTAAGCGTCTCTACGTTTTTTGAGGCTACTAGCCCATCATCGACGAACAGCGCCAGATACACTTCGTCGTTTTTGTATTTCCCGGTAAACACGCACTTATCCGCATCGCACTCTTTTAGATTGAACTCACTCAGAAAACTTGTGAACCTCAGGTTCCAACACCTTGGAGCCTGCTTTAGACCGTAGAGGGACCTTTGGAGCTTGCACACGACATTTCTTGGATCTTCTTCTATCTTCAATCCTTCCGGAATTTGCATGAAGATTGTCTCTTCCAATTTTCCGTACAAGAATGCGGTTTGGACGTCAAACTGCATTACTTCAAGATTTTTCGAGGTGATTATTGCTAGCAGTATTCTCAACGAATCGTACCTTACAACTGGAGAGAATGTTTCGTTGAAGTCGATCCCCCTTCTTTGCATGAAGCCTCTCGCACACAACCGTGCCTTGAATCGATGCAGCTTCCCGTCGGCATCTTTTTTCACCCGAAAAACCCATTTCGAGTCGATTAGCTTCATTTCCGGCGTCCTTTTTTCGAGTTTCCAAGTGCTACTTTCTTCGTGAGCTTGAAGTTCGTCTTGAATAGCACTCGCCCACTGCGCGGCTTCGGTGCTATTCTTCGCTTCTTCATATGTTTGTGGTACGATGTACTCGGCCACATATGCATCATGCCGGTACCTACTCGGTACTTGAATTGTCGAGCGATTTCTTAGAGCTCTTTGATTTTCCAGGTCCGACGTATCCTCTTGTTCGCAGGCCTCTTGTTCGTTTTCCACTTCTGCTTGTTCTTGGCCGATGCCCCCGTTCTCTTCTTCGTTCTCGGCTTTTGGTAGTGGAAGTATTATTTCATTTTCTTCCTCCATTGGATTCGTTTCCGCCAGAGGTTTGCCGACTTTCTCATTAAATATGACATTGCGAGCTACACTGACCCTTTTCGTTTTCGGATTGTATACTCGGTAATTCGTCGATTCTTCCGTGTAACCAACGAAGATCTGTTTACTCGCTCGAGCATCGAATTTCTGCGTAAACTGTTTGGGAGTGTGCACGTACGCGTCTGAGCCGAAGATTCGAAGATGCTTCAGATTTGGGACTTTCCCAGTCCACGCTTCGTACGGTGTTACTGTACCAGTCGTCCACACGGTTCGATTAAGAACGTATACTGCACAATTTACCGCTTCTGCCCATAGAGTCAGTGGTAGACTCTTCGCGATTAACATCGTTCGCGCACTTTCGACTATCGTCCGATTGTCGCGTTCGGCTCTCCCGTTTTGCTCCGGATTGTACGGTGCCGTTTTCTCCTGATGGATTCCACATTTCTCGAGATATTCGTTCATTTCTTTGTTAAGGAATTCCCGACCATTATCCGAACGAAGCGTTTTTATTTTTCGACCGAATTTGTTCTCTATCATTTTTTCAAAAATTTTGAATTTCAGGTGAACCTCGGATTTCTTCTTCATAAAGTATACGTGTCGGTATCCGGTCGCTTCGTCCTTGAAGGTTAGAAAGTATCTTGATCCACCCACAGAGTTCGTTGACATCGGCCCGCAGACATCAGAGTGAATTTTTTCTCCGGGTTTAATTTTCGTGTTTCGCTCCACTTTCTTATTGAATGGCAGTCTGTGCAATTTCCCCATTTGACACGGTTCACAGAAAACGTCATTTTTGTCCGTAAACGATACTCCACTTACAAGTCCTTTTTTCGCTAATTCGCGAATCGCGCGCTTTCCGACGTGTCCTAGTCGTTCATGCCACACGGTTAAGTTTGTTGTAGCTATGTTCGCTTCTTCGACGCTCCCTTGTTTCGTGACCTTGAAGATCATGCGATACACGTCGTTGCCTTGCTTTGCACCTATCGCGAGCACCTTGCCATCACGCACAACTTCGGCGTAATTATTTTTGAATTGCACGCCGAATCCTTTCTTTGTGCACATTCCGACCGAGAATAAATTTTTGCGCAATTTCGGCACGTGTAACACTTTTTCAATTCGTGCGTCTTGCCAAACACCGTCGATGAGCCTTTTGATTCGCACCGTGCCTTCGCCGGCGACATTGCAGATTTGATTATCACCGAGTGATATCGTTGCGCCAGTACCATCTGTTTTGTAGTCAGTCAACCAGTCGCGTCGGTAAGTTAGGTGCCTCGATGCACCGCTGTCGATCAGCCAGACATCGCTTGGATCGGCCGTCATTATGTGACTTTGTGTCCAGAGCTTACTTGCGTTTCCCGCGCTTTTCAAGATCGATTTGTCCGAACTTTTACCTGATTCGACTACAAATGCGCAGTCACGAGGTTTGTTGCCGTCATCTCGTAGCTTCCGCTTGTTTCGACATTGTCTCGCGATATGTCCCATCTCTTGACATTTGTAGCACTGCACTTCCTTCGTTTCCTTTTTATTTTCGGGTTTTTTGTTCTTAG